TGCATGGTGATATTGTTCTTCAGATTGATGGAGAATGTGTTGTATATGGTTCTATACAGCACCAAAAAGAGTTCTTCTATTGTTACCAGCTTGACATCATAACAATAGAAGAACCTTTTTTGGTGATATATAGAACCATATACAAAAAAGGTTCTATGTAGAACCATACACAACACATTCTCCATCAATCTGATGAATATTTCACCATGCAAAAAAGCATTTAAGCATGCAAATGGTTCTTTGAGTGTTCATGGTTCTATGTAGGACCATTGTCTTTATTAAAGAACCCTTGAAGAACCATCTTCTTTTAAGAATGTATATAGAACAGCTTTATATTTAAGTGGTTCTTTGCATAATGAAACAGTTCTTCAGACCGATGGAGAATGTGTGTGTGGTTATATGTAAAACCTTTTTGAAAAGGGTTCTATATAGCACCAAAAAGGGTTCTTCTATTGTTATAGGCTTGACACTGTAACAATAGAAGAGCCCTTTTGGTGCTATATAGAACCCTTTTCAAAAAGGATCTATATAGAACCATCCACAACACATTCTCCATCAATCTGAAGAATGCTTCAACAATGCAAAGGACTCTTTAATCAAGCAAAGGGTTCTTTCGGTGTTAATGGATCTATATAGAACCATTTTGTTTACTAAAGCACCCTGGAAGAACCATCATTTTTAAGAGTGTATTTTACCACTAACAGAGTCAATAATAGCATCATAGCATAGCATACAGTTTTATGTGAGATGTGAAATAATCAGTTAGTGCTCATATCTGAAAAATACAAAAAGATAGTAGGTCATCAGAAACGTCCACATAAGTTTAAGGGGAATTACACTGATATTTCAGAATTTCTGCATTATTCACTTTACATCTACAAGGTGGACTGACAATTTAGGAGTGTCTAATAGAGTGGACAGTGAGTGGACGTGGTGTTTAAAAACCCCAGCAGCACTGCTGTGTCTGATCCACTCGTACCAGTGCAACACACACTAACACACCACCACCTCGTCAGTGTTACCACAGTGCTGAGAATGATCCACCACCCAAATAATACCTGCTCTGTGGGGGTCCATGGGAGTCCTGACCACTGAAGAACAGGGTAAAAGGGGGCTAACAAAGTATGCAGAGAAACAGATGTACTACAAGTGATTCGGAGTGGTTTGGCGTGAATTGGTTTCCAGCTTCTGCACTTCATAAATACTGGTATATAGTATCTAATTCAACTCCATCCTCTGGAACTGCCGCCTCAAACCAGTGTTTATTCTAGAATCTTACTTACCTGCCTTATTACCCCACTTATCGGACTGTTACCCCACTGATCGCTTTCTCTGCCACTACACACCCTTTAACTGCTGCTGCACTCAGCACTTTAACGTTAGACCCATACTTTGCACAATGTAAGGTTTACAGGTATGACTGTGTGTGTGAGTGTGTGTTTGAGTGAGTGATGGTAGGAATGCATGTTTTATTTTTATTATATATTATTTATATATTATTATTTATATTAATTATTTATATTTTATTTTGTTATATTTTATATTTTATATTTATTTTATTTTATTCACTACATGTATTTGTGGGTCTGGTACTGTGCACTGTGTGCTCCTGTAACCAAAACCAAATACCTTGTATGCGTAAGCATACCTGGCCAATAAAGCTTGATTCCGATTCTGATTCTGATTCTGATTGTAGAGACTCTGATTTCTTTACAGTGGTGGTGATGGGAGCCAGGAGTCAGATGTCTACAATGCAAATGTAGCCATTATATTTACTACCCAAAACCACTAGTGAACCTATACACGCCTTCTGAGTTTCATATGTGCTATAGTGATATTAAAATAGTGTTCAATCTGAAAAAATCAGTTTTCTTTGGGAACTATTTTTCCTTAGCATACACTCCATGTATCCCTTCACCATGAATGGATTAAAATAAATGGATTAACAAGACATTTTAGGCCAAAACTTTATCACAAAACTACCATAAGGCACCAGGCGGTGTATTCATAAGCACTGTATGTAGTAACTTTCTGTGAGGGAGCTTTTAGAGCTGGTTCGTATCACCGCCACTGTGACCAATTCTGACTCCGTAAGTTTCTAGAACGGAGCATTTCACACCAAACCACCCTGAATGACTTTGTTTACATGTAAACCATTTAATTATGCAGACATTTTTAATAAGTTTAAGTTGAAGCTCTGGACCTAACGACTGGCAGGTTTCTGTCAGCACTGAGAGCCTTTTCAGTCAAAGTTTTTAGCGAGAACTGCCAGAAGATGGCGCCTCTAGAAAAGGCGGGAAGAGCTCGAGCGCGTTCTTTTTTCCCGCCCGCTTTCCGCCCAGCCCCGCCTCTCCTGGGCTGCGATTGGCTAGCAGCTCAGCTTCTGCGCTAGGATTGGCTAGTATTTCTCACTCACAAGCAGTCCAGCCAATCTTAGCGGGGCTAGTGTTAAAACAGGTGGAAATAAAAACAACGACTACCAGGCTGATCGAGTCTTTCGATAAGCTCTCAGTCTCCGTGTAAAAAAATAAAAATAAATAAACGAAGCCGCCGCTAAACCGATACCACTCCTCGCATAAACGATCCGAACCCCCTGTGATTTGTGTTCACGCATTCCACAAAACACACCAGACGACTGTGGAAATTATCAAGTTAGGCTTGTTGTGAAAATATGACATTAGGTAGCATCGGGTAACAAGAAGAGCACGAAACTACTGGGGGAAAAACTGACTATGTGAAAATTGCATTTTTCCTTTTTTTTTTGCGAAAGTGTGGCGCTTGTAATTAGTGCATTTAAACAAAGCGCGGATATCCTGCTGGCGGTAATAGTGCCTGACATTTTCTTTTCTTGGGTTAATAACAGAGTGCGTACAAATGAATCAAATTGTGGCCCCCAAATTACATAGCGACTTTAAACACGGGTCTGCATCGCGCGCCTGTTTGGGAGTGTGGAGAGAGAGGGAAAAACGGTTTATATTGTTATTATTGTCATTAGTGTGTTGATCTCCTCACAAATGGCGCAGAAGTTTCAGCCAATGGAATATTTGTGGCAACACGCGCGCAGTTTTTTTTTTCTCGTTATTAATAACAATGCACCGCACCGGGCTGGTGGATAATTGTAAATGGCACGATGGGAATGATATTGTAAACGGAATAAGCTGTAACTCTCCGCCAGAAAATAGACCTGCGGTGTTTACTCTAGAGTTCGTTTTGGTAATAAGGGCCTTTTTTCATTATTATAAGAAAGTGACCTCCATCTGCGGAGAGTCGGAGCCAAATTAAGGTCAAACCGCACGTTTTTCCCTCAGGTGGGTCATCTGGCGTAATTATTTTTTTACGCGCCTCTTCTGACACGGTAACGGAGTTGAGCGGGTCCGCGCGGCCCGTTGAGAGCAGAGAGAGAGTAAATTGTAGCTTGTTGAGGTTTTTTGGGATTGAATTCTGAAAATGATCCTTTTAGCGGTGATGGCGGTGAGCGGGGTCAGGCCATCCGCGCGCGGCTTAAATACACTTTCGTTTAAAATTACATTCTCAGTCCGCCTCTCCAGGCCGCGGAGTCCGGCTCACCTGCAGCAGCAGCATTATCAGGCCTGTCTGATCGCTCCGGCTGTTTCTGAGAGGACGGCCAATTAGAGCGCGCTCGAGCTCGAGCTCGCGCGTCCGTGCGTGAGTGTATGTGTGTGTATGTGTGTGTGTGTGTGTGTGTGTGTGTGTGTGTGTGTGTACCTGCACGCGCTCGACTGAAGGCTTCTCCCACTCAGGCCTCGTCCACAGGCTGTGCTATGACACTGATTCTGAAATAACAGTGTGCGGCTTCATGCTGCATCTAACTGGCGCAGTTTCAGCGCAACACTGATTGGACTGAACGGAACTGCGCTGTTCATATATATATATATATATATATATATATATATATATATATATATAGATAGATAGATATATAAAGATATAGATAGATAGATCGATAGATAGATAGATAGATAGATAGATAAATATGCGCAGTGACAAATATATAAATACTGAAATTGATCAGTTATCAGTTCTAAATTATAGGTTATGCAGTGTTCAGAGTGTTTACTTTATTTTATTTTATCCTTCTCTACACCTTCTTCTTCTAATTCTTCTTCTTCTTTTTCTTCTTCTCCTTCTTCCTCTTCTTCTTCTTCTTCTCCTCCTTCTTTTTCTTCTTGATTATAATTGTTGTTTCCCCTGATGTTATTATTATATACTTATTTTTATTTTTTGGTTATGTTCATGAGTTCATTTGTTAATGTTTGTTTTTTGTCCTGCATTTCCTTCTTCTTGTTAATTATTATTATTATTATTATTATTATTATTATTATATATTTGTTGTTGTTGTGCCTTGCATTATAATAATTTCAAAATTATAATTTTTTTATAATCGTTTATTTTTTTCATATTCTTGATTTTTTATTTTATTTAATTTCATTTTATCCTCCTCCTCCACCTCAATCATTCCTTTATCTCTTTCTTGTTTATTATTATTATATTATTATTATTATTATTATTATTATTATTATTATTGTTGTTGTTGTAAGTCATTTCATTGTTTAATATTTGATTTTATTTTATCAGTGCTCCACTAATGTTGGCGACTATAAAGTAGCCCTAGTTTAATTGTGTATATGAGGTGTGTAGCGTGTTGCGCGTGTTTTCCTTTATTTATCCTAAACGCTGCTCTTTATCTTTATCTTTATCTGTAATCTGCACTTGCAGCTCTTGGCTCTTTTGCTTCATTAATCCGTCCACACTGCGCGCGCTCAACTTTAATGGAAAAATAAAGATCCCCCCTCTTTCTCCCCCCCCCTCCTCCGGGAGCCAATCAGATTGGCGCTGCACGTCAATGCAGCAGAGCGCAGAGAGCGGAGTGTGACAGTAGAGCGCGCGCCGGGAAAAAGGGAGCAGAGACGAGCGAAAGAGAGAGAGGGAGAGGGAGAGAGCGAGAGAGAGAAAGAGGAGAGAGAGGAAGAACGCTCGCTTTCCTCGGGAGAAGAGAGAGAGGGAGAGAGAGAGAGGAGAAAGAGAGAGGGGGAAGAGAAAAAAAAAACTTTATTTATTAAAAAAGTGAAGAGCTTAAAAAATGAGCAGTCAGCTGGAGGACGAGGTGCGCGAGCGCGGCGACTGTAAGAGTAAGTCTCCCCCCGTGCTCTCCTCCTACTGCATCGACAGCATACTCGGCAGAAGGAGCCCGTGCAAAGTGAGACTGCTGGGCGCGCAGAGTTTCCCCAGAGCGACCGAGCACGAGCACGCCGCGGACGGTAAGCAGCACGAGCGCCACATGCACGACACAGCTGAACACACGATATAGAACTGACTGACACGCACGCGGATTTAGCTGCACGCGCGAAAGTAGTTAAAAGTCACTTAGTGTCCTCACACTGCGTCTCGGTCAGCACTGGGGACTTTTTTGTACGCGAACCTGAAAAAAAGTTTTCCCCAAAAAACAAACAAACAAGCAAACTCCAGCGCCGAGCTCCTGAACTCTTACAGTGTCCATTCGGGTCCAGACTGGACACTGTGTGTGTCCACACTCGGATTTTTTGTGCACTTGCAAAAGTTTTCCATCAGTCTATCGTTTCCATCGTTTACCAGGTTGTTCTTCAGAGACTCTTTGAGAGGCCTGTAAAAACGGGTCAACACTGAGGAGCTCAGGACTCACTGTAGGACCTGCTGAAAGCACTGTGAGCTCGTGAGGACTGTAAATCAGTTTTTATCACCATGTAAGACCGACATACTGGAGATTAGAGTGCAGCTGTTTAAAAACACGCACAGCAAAATATACAGTGTAGAATTAAATGATACAGTAATTTTCACTATTAGTGTTGATTTCAACTGAATCCACACTAACGGCGTTAAAATACTCTATTAATGATGAATTCAATCTGACAATGTTTATTCACTGTTGTAGTATTGAATTCACTCCTACAGTGTTTCATTCACTTTTATAGTGTTTATTCACTCTTACAGTATTGAATTTTTCCTTACATAGTTAAATCCACTCTTACAGTGTAGAATTTAATTTTACAGTGTTTATTCACTCTGAGTGTTTATTCACTGTTACAGTCCTGAATTCACTCTGATAGTCTTTCTTTCACTCACAGTATTTCATACATTCTTACAGTATTTATTCAGTCCTGTGGTGCTGCAATTAATCTTATATAGTTGTATCCACTCTTACAGTGTAGCATTCAATTTTAGTGTTTATTCACTGTTATAGTATTGAAATCATTCTTATAGTCTTTTATTCACTCACAGTATTCTATACATTCTCACAGTGTATATTCACTCCTAGTGTTTATTCACTCTGTGTTTATCCACTGTTACAGTATTGAATTCACTCCTATAGTCTTTTATTCTCTCACAGTATTTCATACATCCTTACAGTATTTATTCAGACCTATAGTGCTGCATTTAATCTTATATAGATGAATCCACCCTTACAGTGTAGAATTAAATTTTACAGTGTATATTCACTGTTACAGTATTGAAATTCCTCCTATAGTCTTTCATTCACTATTTTTTTCATACATTCTTAGTGTTTATTCACTGCTGTAGTGTTTTATTCACTTTTACAGTGTATGGTTATTTTTTACAGTATTTATTCACACTTAGTGTTTCATTCTTACAATATTCATTTAATAATCTTAGTGTTTCATACAGTATTTATTCACCCGTATAGTATTTAATTCACTGTGTAGAATTAAATTTTACAGTGTATATTCAGTCACAGTGTTTAATACATTCTTAGTGTTTATTCACTCTTATGACACTGAATTTACTTCTACAGAATTTCCTTTATTTTTACAGTATTTATTCAGTTTTATAGTGCTGAATTCATTCTTATGTAGGTGAATCCACTCTTAAGGTGTTTCATTCTTTCTTACAGAGTTTATTCATTCTTATGCACAGGTTTAAATTCAGTCTTGTAGTGTCGAAACGTCCAGCTGAACTTAAATGACCACTGGAGGTGTTCATGCTGGATTTTTTCCTCTGTGTCTGTTAACTGTTCCTCTCTTTTCTGACTCTGTTCCTCTTTTTTCCCTTCCTTCTCTTCAGTGTGCGCTAAAGAGAACTCCGACGTGCATCTGCCCCCCAAACTGCGGCGCCTCTACGGCCCCGGGGGCAAATACGTGGAGCCAGGCCGGGGCTTCCTCGAGCCCAGCGAGAAGGGCGAGCGCGAGCGGCTGCTGGAGCAAAGCTGCGAGGGCATGAAGATCAGCCACGCGCCGCCGGTCAGCATCAGCCGCAGTAAGTCGTACCGGGAGCACGCGCTCTCGTTCGGGCCCGCGGAGGAGGCGCACGAGCTGGGCGAGCTGAGCGCGCTCAAGTTCGAGGAAGAGGAAGAGGAAGAGAGCGCGAGGGAGGAGGCGGCCGGGGCGGCTGCAGCGGCGGTGGCGGCGGTCAACGCGGAGTCCGGCCTGCTGCCCTCGCCAAAGGACGAGGAGAGCAGCCACGGAGACGGAGACGCCAAAGACGGCGAGGACAGCGCGTGCCTGTCCGCCGGGAGCGACTCGGAGGAGGGCGTGCTGAAGCGCAAGCAGAGGAGATACAGGACCACCTTCACGAGCTACCAGCTCGAGGAGCTCGAGAGGGCCTTCCAGAAGACCCACTACCCGGACGTGTTCACCAGGTACACGCGCAGGGGGTGGAGGGGCATTGGGGGAGGGAGGGAGGGGGGGGGCTGTAAAGGGAGGTGAGGGGCACTGGGGGGGGTTATTTAATTCATAGGATTTTTAGAAGAAAAAAAACGAAGCAAAAACGATCAAAATCATTATTCAAGAATTCAGAAACAGAGCAGATGAAATAATATCAATAATAACAAATCATACCAACGATAGCATCATAAATATTCCTACTACAATTGATAGAACTGAATGTTGATTTTTAAAAATAACCTAGTGATTAACCACACAGATTAATGATAATAACAAAATAATAACATTAATAACAATAACAGTGCCAATAATAGCAATAATGATAACAAAATTAATACATGAATTTATATGGAACTATAATAATAAACATATTCATTGTAATATCTGTCTACATTTTCTCAGACCTTTAAAATGATATACAAAACGATATGATTTTTTTTGTAAAAAAACAAAACAAAACAAAAACGTCAGGGATTGTTATTATTATAGTTATTATTAATATGTATAGTATATATGTATAGTGCTTTATGGCTGCATGAAGCAACAGTTTACTTTAGATTAAACACCCCGCGTCCATCTATTCAACAGCGTTTATCACAGAAAATACTTCTTCCTATTCTTATATATATATATATATATATACACATATATATATATATATATATATATATATATATATATATATATATAAATAATAATAACAATAATATCAAGAGAAATGTAATAATAATAATACGTAGTTAGATATAACTATTACTACTAATAATTATAACTGTATTAGTACAGTATTTGTACTGTACTAATAATAACAACAACTGTATGTTACAATAATAACCACTGTATTTATATATATATATATATATATGACAATATAACACTTTTCATACCATGTAGTTTTCAAACGTATAATATGAGATTTATTTTGGCTACATTATCCAAATTAGATTTTATTTTTCCTTCAAAATTCATTCAGTTATATTTTTAAAAATCCTTTCTTACAGGTTCATCTCATTCATAAACATAGTAAAATACGCCGTGATTAAATATAATATGAGCTGGATTTTCCAGAGCGCTGCTTTTATCACAACCCTGTTTGTTTCGCCTAAAATTGGTGCGTATTTCATCCCGATTTTTAACGCTAATTTCTGCGGTAAATAACAGACATTAATTCGTGCACGTGCACTAGTAACAAATGCTCGACGTTACTGACATCATAACGGGACATATTCAGACTACAGAATCAAACCGGTATTTTAAAATACTTGTTTATGATCTATCAGTAATATAAAGGGCTGTGTGATCCGGTTTAATCTCTACTGTATTAAACCGATTTCAGTTGGGTTCCGTTACGACAGAACAGCAGGGATCTTGCAGTGTGTGTGTGTGTGTGTGTGTGTAAGTAAGTGTGTAACCCGGTGTCGCGTGCTGCTGTTGTTGCAGAGAGGAGCTCGCGATGCGGCTGGACCTGACAGAAGCGCGCGTGCAGGTGAGAGCTGCTGTTTATGGTTTACTGCATAATAACGAGCAGAGGCTTCACTGAGAGCGCATAGCTGTACTCTCTAAAAAAGATGGTTCTTCAAGGGTTCTTTAGTCAAAAGGTGGTTCTGTTTAGAACCATGAACACCCAAAGAACCCTCTGCATGATTAAATGGATATTTGCATGGTGAAATCGTTCTTCAGGTTGATGGAGAACGTGCTGTATATGGCTCTATATGGAACCTTTTTGGAAAGGGTTCTATACAACACCAAAATGCCTGACATCGTAACAATAGCAGAACCCTTTTTATTGCCATATACAACACACTCTCCATCAATCTGAAGGACCATTTCACCATGCAAAGAACCATGTAAGCATGCAAACGGTTCTACATCTCGGTGAGAAACCAATTCAGAGCTGAACTGCAGGATGTGAGAACGTGAGGACGCACGTGCGCGTTCTCTGATGGCTGTGTGTTTTAATTTCATTTAGAGAGCGGCAGTCTCGGGGTCTTTAACTTTGTTAAACGATGCCGCACGTCACGGCCAGATCTTTTCCCGTTATCGAAAGTTATTGCGTCCAATCGAGCGGACATTTTAACGGCAATTACGCGCGCGGGCGCGCTTCATAAAAGCGCACTTAGCGGAGAGCAAACAGGCTCACAGCGCGGAGAAAATGCTGTTTGAATTCTCATCGCCTGAGCGGGTGGGGGTGGAGGGGGGGGGGTGGCTGAGGGAGAGGAGGTGGGGGCGAGGGAGGGTGAGGATAATGCTATTTGATTTCCCATTTTGTGATTGCAATAGACCAGCATTGATCCGATGCTTTGCACTTGGAACGGAGTGAGAGACTATTAAAGGTGTTTGCCACCCCCCCCAAACCACCCTCCTCCTCCTCCTCCTCTCCTCTATTCAAAGCATGGCCTGCATGATCAAGCCCAGCTCCCATAACCAAAGAGACAGTACAAACACATGGCAGCTCCGGGGGTTATTGCCAACATAAAACAACAGATGTCTGTTTGGGACTGGGAAGGAACAAATCACTTAATGGGCTCGATCAGGAGGTGATAAAAACTCATAAATTCCCCAGAGGCCCTGTGATGCAAAACAGCCAACAGTGTCTTGGTAGGGGGGGGTGGCACTAGGGTCACTGTTCCGCTGTTGACACTGTCCTCGCTGTGTGTGCAGACCCCGGCCAACCTGAGCGCAAGGGTGCATAGGTGGTGGCGGTGGCAGCCGTGGGAAAGTTAAATAGTCCCTTTCAGAGTCACTTGCATTTGAAGGAATTTCATTTAAAGCGCATTAATTGTTATTGGACTCCGTTGAGCTGTTCTTCCGAAATCCTTTGTTAACGAGGCTCTTAATTACCACGCTCCACCCTGTTTTTAGGCGGCCCAAACCAGATTTTAATTAGCAAAAGTTAGGCCAACGGACCATGAGGGAGTGGGCCTAGGGGTCATGTAATTACCCTTGACTTTCCGCCTATTTGTCACCTCATTAAAGAGAGCCAAATATTGCACATGGACTGAAGTGTCAATGCTCAGACAAGCATGCGGAGTGTCATGCAGAATACAAATTGAACCATCAAGGATACCACGAGACCCAGTTACATCGCAAACAATACAATGCTAAATTCTTATGTCTTCAAATTGTCCTTTAAGATGCATCCAACATGACTGAGCGACGTCTTGGTGATTCCAGGAAATGAAGTTTTCATTTTCTCCTGTTGGGTGCACTTTTTAAATGAATCTTACGCTCTGTCTCCAGGTGTGGTTCCAGAACCGCAGGGCGAAATGGAGGAAGCGGGAGAAGGCAGGAGTTCAGACTCACCCTCCGGGTCTACCGTTCCCCGGACCCCTGGCCGCCGCGCACCCCCTTAGCCACTATCTAGAGGGAGGCCCGTTCCCACCGCACCCTCACCCCGCCCTGGAGTCAGCCTGGACGGCGGCAGCTGCTGCGGCCGCAGCTTTTCCAGGCCTGGCGCCTCCGCACAACAGTTCTGCCCTCCCTCCAGCTACGCCCCTGGGCTTGGGTACTTTCCTGGGCACTGCCATGTTCAGACATCCAGCCTTCATCGGGCCCACTTTTGGCAGGTAGGACAAGACTTAACCTTATCATTATCAGTACCAAACAACTGGGCTAACAACCATTCAAAGGTTCTTGCTTACGGTCATAGCTACTAATCCTGAGTAGAACCTGTTTTGTAAAATTTGTTAACATAGCTAAGACAGAGTAATGAAGTTACTGTTAAGTTATCTATGCCAAACAACAAGTGCAAGCACTTGTGAAAAAAAGTATCCCAGCAGTGCCTAACTCCAGTCCTGGAGATCTACTTCCCTGAACAGTCTTGTTCCCACCTGGCTCTAATATTTAGATTGAAAATATTTTAAGGTTTTTTTTTAAGAGGAAAGTTTCCATATGTGGTTCTATAGAGCAGTTATTTGTTTTTCAGTCCCCAGATGGCCCATATTGTGCTCTGTCACAGCTCTCAAAACACCTGAAGCCATTAAGAGCACTGGTTCAGGTGTGGGAAGCTGGGTTAGAACAAAAAGGTGGACAGGCTGGGCAGCCCTGAGGACTGGGTTAAGAACCATTGCAGTAGAGCAATAGAACAGGCCTTAGAACAGGGCAGGTGATGGTGATGTAGGAACATGCCTGAATCACAAAACCCCTACCAAAAAAGCACATCCAAATTCATGCAGCAAGTAGCACCCTGGCCAGCTGCCCCAACAGCTGGAGGATCTGTGTCCAGCACAGCTTGGTGATTTTTGGTCAGACACACCTGATTCAACTCATCTGTTAATTGCCAGGTTTAGTAGGTGGTTTCTGATGACCAAACTGTGCTGGACACCAGCCTCCAGGCCTTAGAAGGACCACTTTTGGTCACTTAAAGGACTTTTTTGCTACAACACTTTTATAAATGAGTTGTTGAAGTGTGAAGAACCTTTTTAAACCCACACACAAAGTAAATGTTGTTTACTATTTTAAAGTTTTTCCTAGAACCATACATCCAAGCCAAGAACCATTTAGGAACCCTAATTTTTTAAGAGTGTGCTCCTGGAGGCCCTGATAAGCTGGATAAGTTGTAATATATTATAGCTGGAACTAAACTCTTGGGGCTGATGGGTCTCTAGGACCAGACTTAACCATCTGATTTTTGCTGCCAATCCTGAAAGATTACTTTCGGAGTGGAATTCCAACCGTAACCTAATCGCGTCCCCTTGTCCATCTTTGCTCAGACTCTTCTCCAGCATGGGCCCCTTGACCAGTGCTTCCACGGCTGCTGCTCTCTTGCGCCAAACCGCTCCCACGGTGGAAGGTCCAGTGCAGCCCCCAGCAGGCCTGCCAGACCCTTCCTCCTCTTCATCCTCCAATTCCTCCTCCTCCCCTTCCACGGCCGCCGACCGCCGGGCCTCCAGCATCGCTGCCCTTCGTCTCAAAGCGAAAGAACACTCGGCTCAGCTGACCCAGCTGAACATCCTGCCCGCCAGTGCCACGGGGAAGGAGGTGTGCTGAAGCCTCCACTCCCGAATCACGAAGCCCTTACCGAAAAAGCACGACCAAATCCATGCAGCAAGTGGCACCCTGGCCAGCTGCCCCAGCGCTGGAGTCGCGACGTTGAGCTGTCACAGCAGTGCCCCCTTCCTCCACTGGACATCCTCTCTTGGTCTCCATCCACCTGGCATGCTCATAAAACCACGAACTCCATAGTCTGCAATGTAGCTACACTGCCAAAGGGCATGCCAGTGAGATTGTACTCTAGCAAATCTACCCAAGTCTGCTTTCACGTTCTCCAGCCAGAAAGAAGCCCTGGTGAAGCGATCACACGAAATTTCTACAACAATTTCTACAAGACATTCAGAGCACATCAGCTCTTCCTGACCTGGTTCCAGTGTTGCACCAGAGGAGAGGTCAATATGCCAAAGGGAACTGCCATAAACCTGCCGACTCCCACTGTTACCGACCCCCACCCCTCTCAATTCCACCCATCCTGTCTGAAGATCACTCCTTGGTGTTCACTTCCAGTTCCTTCACCCCTTCTGTTGATTATGCTGTTTAGGGGAAAATTAACAAACAGGTTCTTTTGTTTCTTCAAAAGACTGACAGTGAAGAGTTCAGAATGGAACCATAGCTTGTTCGCTGATCTGTTAAGAGTAGCCTATTTGTATATATATATAGCACTGTAAAAATGAAGATGTGGGGTGAGGGAGGGGAAAAAAACCTTCTGAAAAGCTGTGTACATTTGACAACGTTTTGAAAAGATTCTCTTGATGTAGTATTGTATGAATGTTTTCAAGTAGAACTCAACCTACGTTGATTTTATGAAATCTTAGGTTTTTAGATGATTATTTATGTCTCCGCTGTGGACAGTGAGAGACACTTCACTGTTCAGTGAGAGAGCTGCCTGGCTTTTTGGCATGGCCAGATGAAAGATGAATAAATGAATCTGGTGGAAAAAGTCTGTACACTCCAGCTTTTATTTTGAAACGGTGCATGGGGGTGGAAAAAATCCCAAAAAAAGTGTGTATTTATATATATATATATATATATATATATATATATATATATATATATATATGGTGTGTTTTTTTTAATTATACACAAATATTTTTTAATGAATATGCATAGAGCGTACAGCATGCACAAAAAATAAAACAGCAATTTTCCAGTATATTAGCATCCTGTTAAAACAGCTATTATTTATATACATTTATATATATTATTTATATATGCTTTTACTTTTATATACCTTTAATATACCTCTAAAATACCTTTATGATGAGCAGTTGTTTACCTATTTTTGTACATCAACATAAGGGTTTTTTCACTCATTTGCAAACATACGGATTTTAACGTAAATTCCGAAACACTGACAGCTACCCGCTAACATTCATTAGCTTAGATACAAGAAGCTACATCTTTAGCTTCCCTTCGTCTTGCTTTAACTGAGAAGGATTTTATGCCCCTCGGTGAAACTGATAAATTTAGCCATTAGAAAGCGGTCGTGGTCGTTCTGGGGTCTGTTTGCTTTGTGAAACATCGCCTTTCTGAGAGGAAAAGGCCTGAAAGGAGCCGCTGTTAGCTCCATTAGCTGTGCGGCCTCTAACAAAACGGCGCCGCTAACAAAACACGGCGGAGGAGCTTCACAGCTGAACTCAACTTAACATCTGTAATGCCGGCTAAGTCGAGGCAGAGGCCTTTCTCATTAATGAAGTAACAACCAGTTGATCAGAATGTCTTTCTCTCCAAGTCCTGGTTTAATTCCTCCTCCTCCTCCTCCTCCTCCTCCTCTAACACTCCCCCCTTAAATCCTCTCGGCTGGATCTCCCGAGCCGCGGTGCCATTACTGCACTCAATGCTCCTTTCAGTCCCAGTCATTTTCCCCCGTTTGACCCGTCCATGGTGCCGAGGCAAATCGCGTGAAATTACCTCTGGGATTAATTTTCCCTCTTTTATTGCTTAGCGCCGGTGAAAAGATTTTCTCTTTCCTTGTTTTACACCCGGCTAATCCCACTCATTTCGACGCCACAAACAAGCAGGATCAGTGAAAATGGAAATAAAGCGAGATGAAGATGGGTTAGGAGGGGAGGGAGTCTCTCTCTCTCTCTCTCTCCAGCTGGAGCAGTTCTAACTCTTCACATAATTTATTCTCACCAATATCGTGCACTAAGGACCCCCCTCCAGACTTGTGCCAAGTCCCATATTTAACATGTTCCACGTCGCGCATGACAAGAACATGTTCAAAGGAGCATTAAGCAAAGAAAGAAAGAAAGAAAAAAAAAGAGAAACCCATTTTCTCCCTCGGTGACGAGTTTATTTCCAGAGAGGCACCTGGAGCAGAGCCCACACCACTTCTGGGGGGCTTTTAGAGGAGATTTTCCACAATTCCCTAATCTTATTGTGAACATTATTAATGAATGGCAACCCAATTTACTTCTAATATCTGGGGGAATTCTTCTCAAGTGCTTTGGGTCAACCCCCCCCCCACACACACACACCTCCACCCACCCACCCACCCCCCTCCCTGCCTCCTCTATCGCATAATTCAACAGCACAGGCCGATACAGGATAAGAGAAAAGTTTGTATTTTTTTATTGGCAGCGCGCCAGAATTATTTAGTTTATATCAATAAATTCTAAAAATAGTTCGTGTTAAACGCGAACTGACAATAAGAACAACCGCAAGTTCTGCAAACTGTCTAACATTTGTGGTTTTCAGATATTTTAGGCCCCCAGGTGATATTTCAATACTCAAAGGTACGTATTCGTTCCAAATGAGCAACATTATGATATTATAATATCATAAATACACCAAATTCGAATACAATTGTATTTTTAGTGGGAAATGTAATAAATATGGCTTTGCCATTCGGGGTCTATGACGGGTCCCCTCTTACCGGAATGGGCAGAGATCTCAACTGTTGATGGCAGCAAATAATAAAACTGATTTATATTTGGTATAATAAGCAAAAAAGGCCATAGAGCCGCTTCTAATTGGTCTAAAGCGACGACATTTTGTATATTCGTGCCTTGAATTAACGCCAAACACTACCAAAGTGAATCTGATCACACACATTTCCGTTTATTCACAATCAGCAGTTAAATGAGTCAATTTAATATGATAAATCAAGTAATTTCTGGTGACATTTTTTGATCAACGTGGAAAGCATCTGTACTCAGAACATTAACATTTCACATATGGACAATATTTTTATATTAAAAAAAACTACATAGTTAAAATGTTGAGATGTAAACAAAGTCAGAGTGGCTTGGTGTGAAATACTCTGTTCTAGGTAAACCTGCGAGTCAGAACTGGTCACGGTGGTGGTGATAGGAACCAGACGTCCACCTCTAAAAGCTCCCTCACAGAAATTATTACATCAAATGGTTATAAATACACTGTCTGATTTCTGAGACATAGTTTTGTAACAATGTTTTGGCTTAAAATATATTTAAATCCATTTATTTTAACCCTTTCGTGGCGGAGGGGTACATCAGGGCGTTGTGAGGCTAAATAGTCCCCAAAGAAGACGTATTTACACAGATTCTCCACTATTTTACCATCATTAACATCACATATAAAACCTCAGAAGACACGTGTAGGTTCACAGGTGGTTTGAGTAGTAAATATAAAATGGCTATATTTGTGTTGGAGCCACTCTGGTTCCCTTCACCACCACTGTGAAGAGTCTCCAAGTTTCTCTACAATGTATAATTTCACGTTCTGAACAACTGAATTGTTGAGAAATTTTGGAAAAAAATCTTTAAACGCAAAGTGCAGTTTAACTAAACAGCCCAAAGTGCGTCTAACAGTGCATGTATGACTAAAAAAACCCAAACCCCTCACGGCTGTTATTGATGCCTGATTGTAAAGTGTCGCCGAGTTGCTGTTCAGTCCGTCCAGACTGCGGGGTCAGCAGCAGCTCTGATGAGTCTCTCTCCCCTTTTTTCGGAGTTGTAGGAGTTGAAAACCTCGGGGAAAAAGGGGTCTGAATGGCTGCTCACTGGCACTCCGGCCCCTTTTCGCCGCGCCTTAATTCCCCCCGTCTCTTTTACCCCTCATCCAATTAGCCTGGTGTATTAAGCGGTTTATCATCTCATAGCCCGCCATTCACGCAAACAAGGAGAGGGGGGGCGCTCTGCAATGGGAGCCGCTTTCCTTTTGACACCCACGGCCACTTACATATTCCGCAGCGCCATGAATAATGGCGAGAGAATGGAGCACTAATTCCCCTCATCAAAGGGAACCTTGTCCACCGCTTTGCTCAACACCACTATTCTGGTTTTTAAGGAGTGGAAAAAAAGGAGAAGAAAGTGAGAGAGAGGCAATAAAGCTTAGCATAGCCTAACAAAAACGAATCGTTCTTATTAGCTTAGCAGGCGGAATGAATGCAAAGCCTCGCCGCCATTGAGCGGCCCAGTTTGAAAACAAGCCTCTGCTGGCACGATAATGCCTCAGCCCGAGTCTGAGGAATGCCTCATTGAAACCTGAGACCATGCATTGATGACTTAATCTTGTAAAGTGCGATATAAAAAAAAAAGGAGGGAGCCATTCAGTCAGAGCTAACCGTTCCCTCAGTTAAAGTATTTTACTCGGCGCGCAGCAGATGTGATATAATAAATATATAAATTTACTTCATTGGCAACGCAGGCCTCCACACAAACGCTGTCGATCATAGTCCGGGCTAAACCCGGGGCATAAAGCCACTCTTTAAAGTGTACAGTCTCTTAGGTCGGTGCCATTAGTGGCTGTCGTCTAAAGTGATTTTTCAAGCACGGTATTTATGGAAATTGGCATTTGCAGTGATGAAATGGTATAAGGAGAGGGAGAGAGAGAGAGGGAGAGATGGAAAAAGAGAAAAAAAAAAAAAATCATCGTTCACCTGTCATTATAAACACATAGAACAAGCAGAGTGAGGCGAGCACCGTTTTTCACAGGCTCCAATGCTGCAGCCTTCAGACTTTCCCCCCCTTCTTTCCATGTCTTGGTAGAACAGTCACCATTTCTTTCGGCCAACGTCTAGGTGAAATGGTTAAACACACAAAAAAACAGCAGGAAACCTGTAACTCTTTTGTATCGCTTTATTTTACTTTCAGAATAAAACACTTAATAACCAAGACTTGGCCATTCAGGCACTTCAGCCCAGCTACAATCAGTATATGGCGCAAGATGTGGAGGGAAAGAAGACAGAAAAGAAAGACCACACGTATAGAAGTTAACCGATAACATTGGTTCTAAGGCACAGGCTAACCTTCCCCTGGTTGGGTCCGAGTCAAACTGCCTGTTGAACAAGTGCACCAAGCATTAAGAACGAGGCACAGTTCAAATGAACGTCCAGTCGCTTCCAACTCCAGAAATCACTGGCCTAGTCTGTATCATTGGCTAATCGCCACGCTGTCAAGGACCAGTGGTGGTAGAGAGAAGTTAATACCCCTGACGGTTACCTCCAAATTTTTTCCTCTGTGTTGTAGTGGAATTGGGAGGAGAGGCTGAGGGTGGTGGTGTCTCTAAAGGTCTTTAGGCCCTCTTCTTGCCCATTTTGCCACCGAATCGGGATCGATTAAAGACCTGGATGCGGGGCTAAATGGCTGTGATGAGAGACTTGGGTCAGAGTGAGTGACGGAAGGTCGGTCAATCAAGCCAGCGCTTGATGGTTACACACAATTCTGCCATCATCTCTCCTCACCTCTGACCTTAATTCACACCACACCATCAGCGCACAAGAGCAGTGTGTTGGAGGGCGATATAGATGTGGGGGGATACAGGCACAGATTTCTTAGAAATTCAAGCGGGGGGCATGTAATAACTGCAAATAACATTCAATACATTACAAAACCATTATATACACGATAGATTACAAAAATAATCACTATTAGAAAAATTATTGGTCCACTCAACAGCAAAAAAGCTCAAACACTTGAGGTCTCTGGCTGTTAAGAGATTTATCTACGGGGAAAGCCGACTGACTCCGCTGTCTGAACTTGTCTTTACTGAAGGAACTGATGGTTTTTACTTCAGTGTTGTAAAGGCCTGGAAGAGCTTAGACAGGTTGACTTCGGAGTAGCTGCTGGACACCAGGACACGGTCCACTACCCCCTTCAGCTTCTTGTACACCTCTCTCTCCTTGTTCCAGCCACTCTTAAACTTCTCTGTGGAGAGACAGAATACAATACATTAATGCCAGTAACGTTGAAGATAAAAACATCTGGTGAAAAATCAAATGTACACAATTGTTCACTTAGCCCGGTAATAGTTGATCAGCCAAGGCATGTTTGGTGTCTAAATTTTGCTACTTTAGTTTAGCACTGTAGCTACGACACTAACATTGTTAATAAACACTAGGAGTCAACAGTAACCCAAATCTTTACCATAAATACATCCCTAAAACATCTCAATCTGCTCAAACCACGTCCAGGTCTTCATTATGCTTGCACAGACTTGTCGATGTAGTTTAAGATACAGCATTACTGTTGACTATAAAGATGCATAAAATATTGCATTACCAAACACTGCAGGCAGCCATTTTAGACAACGGTGTTCAGATAATGAATCTGACTCCTTCATTAAGTTATTTATTACAAACAACTGTCAATGTATTTTGCATGCTTGTTTGCCGCGTGCAACAACGGGCATTTGAATTGCAACAGATGTTGCCTAAATTGGCTATTCAAAACAATTTTATGCATTTTTTATATTTACACTGTCCTAAACTTCAATAAAGGCCTGGTTCTGGTCTGAGTGGGCTGAAAGAAGTTTTGGGAAGACGTTTATGGAAAAGATTTGGGTGACTACTGACTAGTATTCCTTAGCGAAGTTGGCCTTGTAGTTTCGGAACTAAACTAAAGAAGCAAAATTTGGGTACCAAACATGTTTTGACTGACTGACATTTGAGGTAAGTGAAAAACTGTCCTTTCAATAATTCAAAGGTAAACACTGAAAAGTTAACTTGAGAAGAAATTTAGAATTAAATTCAAATATATTTTAGAAATATAACCCCTGGTTTAAAAACACACATTAGCATAAGAAATAGGTGGCACAGTTCCCAAACCCAAAGAAGAGAATTTCTGCTAGAAAATCTGAATAAAATAAGGCACCACATCTACAAGCAAATGGTCCGTTTGCAGGCAGGGCTGGAGAAATGATCTCTATGGACTTGAGGCAGAGGCAAAAAACCATCAGTTATAATATCGAACTCTGCTCTTGGACAGAAGCTTGGAGAGGTTTATCAAGTATCATTTCAAATGAAAGTCCCAAAGAATCGATAAGGCTGCAGTAATCCGGCGTTGTGTGGGTAGTACGGTGGTTTGAGGGGCTAGGCGTCTACAGAAGTCTGGAGGCTAAATAGACTGCACTGCCAGGGAGCCATGGGGTCAGGCAATCGGGTCGATATCCTAGGTCATTTATCCCAACAGGAGGGCCTTCAATAACAGAGAGGAGATGATGGAGGAGCCATCGGCAGGCTAGCAGGACTGAACTGGAATTACAGAGAGAGTCAAAGCCTTTAACCAAAGTCTTTTGTAAAGCCAAGTCTTTGCAAAAGGCTTGCACCCTACAGCAGAGCGAGCCAGAGGTTTCTACACCTCCAAGTAAGTCTAAATTTTGTACAGGAAAACAAATCTGCATGTCTATAAGCATGCTCGATAGCTGCAGCATGGAATCCTCCGGCTGGAAGCTGCAATTAGTCCTCCAGCCAAAGTGGGGCAGCGTGGAAAAAGCCGCAGTTGATGCAAAGGCGATCCAGCTGCCATACGTGTAGTGTCTGTCTTTTAAAGGGTTTGTGCTCATGTCACTACATAAGCTCAGCTCTTTTTGCTTATACTAGGGCATGATGTAGACAAAAGCCTAGTATTGTGATTATATTGCTACATAATGTGACTGTGATATGCTTTGATATATTATATATATATATATATATATATATATATATTATATATATATATATATATATATATATATACATACACACACTAAAAACACTGGTGAATCAATAATGTGACAAGGTTAAAGACTGGTCTTCATTAGCTTGACCAAAAAAAACAAAACAAAACAAAAAAAAAAAAATAAAAACAGCAAAAATAGCACCAATACAAGTGAATCTCTATGCCACTCCTTACTGGACTAAATTCTTTTCTTATAACATTCTTATAATATGTGTCATGTCATAATAAAGATTTTTAAAATTCAACAATAAGTGCCTTGGAGATGCCATGTTTTGAAGCCCCACCATCAGCATCTTCATCAGAAATGTTTATACCCCTACTAATAGCACTATTTTCTCTACCTATGAAAACGTCACTGAATCTATCCAGAAGCAGCCAGTATTATGATTAGGCAACTTTTATGGATGCACAATCTGAACTGACAAAACTGGAATCAGCTGATTTTTGCTTAAAAAACACAATTGTTGAATTTATTATTTGAATTTTAGCACATATTGCGATTATGACACCAATTAGGTCATAATTGAGGGCAAAATTGGCCCCTTTTGCCCCTTTCCTATGCTGAAGGGAAATTCTGGTCAATATACTCATAACACCCAGCAAAAACAACCTGTTTGTTTTGCACATTGCAGCGTTATGTATAAGTCCAATGTCGCAATAACAATTAAACGACAGTTCACACTGCTGAACCACGAGAGGACAACATTTACACATGCCAGATGATACAATCCCCACTGCTGGCCGATTGTTTTGTCACCCTCTCTGGGGTCCAGATTTCAATCACAGTCTGACTCTATTAGCAGGTGTAGCACAAACACAAGCTGAACTCCCTGTGGGGAATAAAGGTTAAACACACACACAAGAGAGTGGCCAAGTCCAACCTTCTAGAGAGACGGAGAGAGAAACTGGAATACCGCACAAATATATATATAGTATGTATGTATACACATATCAGCAGCACCAGCTACCATTATCACACATACATTTTACCTCCACAGAGAGAACAAGAGAGAGAGAGACACAAGCAGGCTGGCACATGAACCAAAGCGAGGGGGAGAATACTATTTACCTGAGAAAAGAAAGAGAGAGGAGGGAGAAGAAAGATGATGCATGATCAAGCGAAAGCAATCATGTCATCATTTTTGAAAGGTGGGAGAAAATAATTCTTTTTTTTTCTCCTTCTCTCTTTTTCACCCCCTTCTTTCTTTCTCTTCTCCTCCTCCTCCTCTTCTTCATTCTTCCCCTCAATCATTGTGTGGGGAATGGATAAAAAAGAGCAACTTAAAAGCCACAAAGGTTGTCAGAGACCCCCGCTTTCCCTCTCGGCCCGGCAGGGGTCGTATTTAAAATAAATAGCATTTCGAAAAAAGGGAGAGAGAGAGAGAGAGAGAGAGAGAGAGAGACGAGGAGAGCCAGAGAGAAGGGGAAAGAGACAGGAGACATGAGCAAAAGAGAGGAAAAGAAGCGAGAGGGGGAAACTGAGAAAGCAGAGCGAGGCAAGGCAGCGGAGGGGGGGGGTGATAAGGAGAACGAGAGAGAGAGAGACAGCGAGAGAGAGAGAGAGAGAGAGAGAGAGAGAGAGAGAGAGAGAGAGAGAGAGAGAAGACAGGAGGCAGGGGTTGGCGCAGGCTGCCTCGTGACAGAGGAAGGGGTAAGCTAGTCCAGGGAGAGTGTATCAGCTTCCATGCGCTCTAACTAGGTGTAAATACAATAACAAGCATGTAATTAAGTGAGCATGATGAAGTTAATGGAGATCATACATTCCATTTGGGCTGCTTATGAATATTCTATTAGATGTTATCAGGCAGCTGGAATAGCTGTTAATTTAATCATCACTGCGAGCAGGGAAAAGTTCTTTGTGCGAGTGTAATTGCACAGAATGAATAATTGATTTGACAATCGCACCCGCGGATTTCCAGCAGCTCAAGGCTGGCAGAGCGCGGGGGAGGAGGGGCGGGGAGGGCGAGTGCTGTGCGCCCTGAAGAGGTTGCAGAGGAGATAGCCTGCAAATTGAGCATTAGCTGCACACTGATAAAGGACAATTTTTATTTTATCAATGCGGCGAAATTACATTACGGCGTGAGCATAATCACACTGCCCACACTTAAGAAGAGACAAGGGAAAGAGAGAGGCAGAGAAAGAGAGTGCGCAATAAAAGAAAGAAGGGTGAGGGGGGTGGGTATGAGAAGCAAAGGGATGACTAAAAGAGGAAATAAATTGCTCTTCATGAAAAGAATGAAATCAGAGTTCAACATGATTTGGAAGTCATTGATACAGGATATCTAATATTTCAAAAAATGGAGAGAAAATGTTTTATTATGGAAGGACTCCTGCCGTGTCTGAAATTGCCTCCACATTTACCTCAGTTGCTGCAATCAGGCGGACGACTGTGGTCTACATGTAGATCAGATTCTGAGTCTGCATCGAAAATGTCTCGCGTTCCGTTCGCACACATGGCTAAAAAAGAACCCCACTTCCACTGTGGGCACACATTATACGTCGCGTGCAACTCTATCGCTTTTAAAACCCAGCTGAGAACATTGATGAAGTCAGCTAGTATGAAGCAGCAGCTCAGATAGGCATTTAAGCAGTCGGGATGCTTCCTGTCCAGGCAGGTCCGGAGACCAATCACAGGCCTGGACGGGGGTTCTTGCAGGCCCACTCCGAAATAAGCACGGGCCGCTAACGGCTAAGACGATAACCTGATGAATAGTGTGATTTACTGTGATTCCTCCATACCGAGCGCATGGTAAGAGACGATCAGCCGCAGTAATTTGAATCAAACCACGGAGAGAAAAAAGAGGTTGTGTGGGGGGAGGGAAGGAGAAGGAGGACAATCTAACTCTTACTTTGCTCTGCTAAATCTCTGGGCAGCATATACTGCTGGTGAACGTTTTTTTCCCACTTTTTTTCCTTCCTTGTCCGAGAATAAAGAGGCAATTTCCATCAGTTTTTCCTCGCAGGAGGAATCAGATAATCTAGAGAGGAAAATACGGCAAATGGGCGAAGCGTCGGGCCGCAATTTCATCATCAAGCAACAGCTGGAGCGGCTGTTTGCCGAACCGCAGCGCCACCCCTGGCCGGAGAGAATAAGAGAAAAAGAGAACGTGCCTCGGTCGATCAGGCCGGAGACTCTATCAGCCGGTGAGTAAGTTTAATGTCTCTCTGGACTTAACTCCCCAAGACTGACCAATGGGCCCATTTATCCAGCCTTATTGTTCGCGCGGCTGGCCAGAGTCCGGAGGCTTGAGGCGGCCTCGAGGATCGCCTCCCTCACCTCCGGCCCCTGCGTCCAGCCGCCCCCTTCCCTGTCTCGCTCCACCTCCCAGCACTGTACGGCCGCAGTTATCTAAAGCGCCACAATAACAGCAGAGCCGACAGAATAGGGGGAAGATTGGTTTTTCTATTGTGCCGCCGAGCTGGCATAATGCCCACTTTAAAAGCAATTCCTCGCTCATCAGAGACAGACAGAAAATCTGCCAGATACGACACTAAACGTCCCAGGTTGGGGGGGGTGGGGGTGGGGGGTTTGCGCGAATTCAGTAAAATTACAGTTGGCCGGGTGTGCGCGCACACGCGTGTTTGCGTGTGTACTGCAAGGGGGCAGCTAAAAGTTTCTTGAACTGCACTTTATTCCATCATGCCTACCACGCTGGCGCCTTTCTCTCAGCGCGCTCCAGCCCGGAGCTCAACCCCGCGCTACTTCCCATTGTGCACCGGTGGTTGGAGTAAATGGACTGGAGCAAAGGATACATCACTGCCAACTGAACAGCAGAATAAACCATAAGCCTCAAAAAGAATCTTCACCCTCAGACTCTGCAGAGGGAAGATGAAAAAAATGGGGCCCTATCAGACCCCAGGAACAGAGAGAGAGGGAAAGTTTCAACATGAAATAAATTCCTATACCTGTTTAGGTGTTCCAGTTTGACGCACAGGAAAAACACTCTAAACGCAATGCAAAAGCATGTAGTTTAGCAAACCATGTCCATTTTGAACTCTCGCCTAGGAACAAAATGCAGTGGAAAGGTTTAATATTCAAAAATGATTTGTTTCTCAAAAATGCTCGGCTGACTACGTTTAAACCTTGATCCGTTGGCAGTTATTCAAACCTCTCCTCTCAATACTAGCAAACATATTTGGCTCGATAGCACAATACATCAAGTTGGACGTATTTGGAAGAGATATTGTTGACTGTCCATAATTTAGGTGATGCTGCCTTTTGTGAGCACAGACTGGGTTTAACAGATATCATCAGTTAATGACAAATCATACCTAAAGTTTTTGGGAATACAAAATCATTATTTCCTGATTCCCCCCCCTTGACAACATACTGTTTTATTTATTTATTTATTATAGCCAATCAGCTAAAGGGGATAACCATTGCATATTATGCATTATATGCATGCTGGTGCTTGTTTGTGTCATACCGGTATAAAGGTTATGACCAGTGATGAAGCATCGTTCTGCAAATTTAAGCAAAAAGCTAAAACTTAACTACTATATTTACAACTGGACAGTGCATATTACCAGCATGAAGCAAATCAACCTAGAGATAAACAGGCCCTGAATCTTATCACAACCAGCTTGTTTGAAAGACAACCAGTACAGCACTCGATAAATCCATTAGATGTATAAAATCTCTAAAATAAACAACAGAAATCTAGTAAAATGACACGACATAATATACAGATCTTTAGCTACTGAGCTGAAGGGTCACAACAAGAAGAATAGTCAAAAAGTAACAAACCAAATAATGTGAAAAAAACTGTAGCATAGAATTATAAAGTCCCTTGTTGGACATTCACCAAAATTCATGTTTTATTTAAACATTAATGGATTTAAAATTAGCTCCTTAACTGTGTTAGCAGGCTATGTTGGCCACATTTGCTAAAACTAAGGTTTCAAGGTTTTAATTGGAGAACAAACACGGCCAATTGTTTTAAAGCAATGTGTTAATTTTGCATATCAATGACCACTGGATTGGTCAAGGGTGTTTTCTCCTGTGCAGAGGAGCCAAAGGTAGTGTACTAAATCTGATGGAAAACTGGGAATTTAAACGGCACTGTGAAAGACGCACAGAGACCATAACTGACAACTTCAATATGGTTATTTCTTTTGTTTTGCTTGTGGTAACCGGTAGGGTGGTCCCTCAGTGTGCATAATGGACAAAACACCCCCATTTAGGACAAAACTCAGAAACATCTTCAAGAAGAATTTCATCTTTTTTGCTGGTGCATTTTATGTGTTCCAATCAAATCTCAGACACAAATATTGTTAACTGTTAAAACATCTTAGTACTATGAATACTATTTTGCCAAACTGCCTTTCCCAAATGATCTAAACTGTTATCTTCACTAAAATCCTCTACCTGTAGGCTCTCTAAAGTCAGACAGATCTACACTAGACCAAAAGGCTGATGGATCATGCATGCATGAAATCCCAGACTGGGAGACTGGGAGGTTCTACGCCACTCCTCAATACTAAAACTGGCAAAGGTACTGGTGAAGGACCCACAATCTAGTACCCAACGTATACTGAAAGTGCTCCACCTAAACCCAATGCAAAAACGACTGTAGACTGTGGGCCATGACCTAAAGCAGAGCTCCAAGGGCTAAAAAAGTGATCATCTTGCACGGATACCAGGGATATGGCATAGTGCGGCCAAATATATCCTACATAAATGCCAAGACTTAATGCCCCCAACGTGGCAGAGGCACACCTGGGGTCTTAATCAGAACCTATACCAGGTAAAGACAGTACCAGGCATCCAGCCCTGTAATTTCACCCCTAGACCCCACTAAGCCCTGCAGTCTGTAATACAGTAATGCACGGTATTACAGTGATGGGCCAGGGTTGGGGGGGTGGAGTGGGGGTGATGACAAAGGCTATACTTTAGAGCTTCGTGTAAGATGTACATCCAGGAGTCCTCTAATCCCTACCAGGCCAACACCAAGAAAAGCCCTGGTGTGATAACACTGCATTGGACGAGCAACGGAAGAATCAGACATACACATCAGAATATAGAGTGCAGATTTAAGTCATATTAGCGAGGCACAAACAATATGTTTACATACTTTTTAATTACTATGTCAAGTTTTATATAGCTTCCTACAAATGATAGAAAGGCTAAGGATTTGAAGGTCACCATCAAGTTTGAATCATTTTCTACATATATCTGCAATTATTAATATATTTCTATTAATAAAAACTTCATTTTACAACATTCGAGCGATAGTGAACAGCAGGTTATAAGTGAGATATACCCAGGAAGGGCGATGGGAAGCAAGCGCAGCAAAAATGTCCGGACATCAGCCCCAACAATCTAACCTGTGAATGTTTACGTCTAATCTCAACAAGAGAAAATCAGGGATAGAGAAATAAGCAAAAAATCACTCCTTGAGGAATTAGAGGCAAGGTGGCAGTGACGGGCAGAGTAGTTGTCAGAACTCTGAAGATTGGCCACAATTACTCAAAGAAACAACAGTAGCGAAAAGTAGAGAAATAAAAATTCCAGAGAGAAGCCAAGTCTATAATCATGTTAGCCCCCCAACGCCCCCCCCCTTCCAGACCCACTCGGCTTGCTTCATGTTCTGAGTGGTCATCTATTGATTACACATTATATTTATCTACGCTTCTCGCTCTCGCTCCGGACCTCATTGGCACATGTAGAAATAAATAAATAAATATACAAGTCTGTTCCAAGAGGTCCTTTTTAATCAAGTGACATCAATCACAGAGGCTGGCGGCTAAGTAGCCGCGGCTCGGCTAGCTCCGGTCGCGCCGGGGTTGGATCCTCCACTGGGCCGCTGGAAATATATGCTCCATGTCCCATTATTTATGAAGGCCTATCCTTTTGCCTTCTCGCCAATTACTCTCCCTATCATTTTCCAAAATCTAAAAACTGTTTTCA